TATATATGTGTGTCCGTACATATGTAGACGTAGGTGATATAAACGTAAAATATAAAAAAGTTCATTTATTTTTTATTTTTTAGACTTATTTACGGATTTGATCCCTGTGGTTTGTGTAGTTTTTACGAAATTGGTTCTTTGACTAAAGATAAAAAAGAAAAAGGACAAAAATGTCCTCAAGGTTAATGAAGGAACTGGATGACCGTTAAAAGAAGGGACCAATTCATTATAAAATGACATACCACAAGTCTTAATCTGTAATAAATGAAATTCAGGGACCACTTTCACAAAAACAACCAAACCACAAGGACCAAATCCGTAATTTGCTCTTATTTTATAACTAGATATATGATAAAACAAGTATCGGTCCATAATTATTTTAAGCCCAAATTGAACACATAGTGGGCTTAAAAGGCCCAAAATCCAGATGTTCACATTTTGAGACTTCACGCACCTCGGGCCATGTTTGGAGTTCACGCGCTGCAGTTGTGTCCTTTTAAGTTGACCAGAATTTCTTCTTCCAATCCCCCTTTGAAAGTTCCACCGTTTTCACACGCACAGACAGAAATGGCGCACACAGAAACTTTGATTGTGACCAAAACCGACGACGAATCGAACCGCCCACCGAATCCTTTCAATGCGATTTTCTCGAAGTTCACTCAGGTTTTAAATTTCCGTCTTCCACCACTTCCGCCGATGAAGAAAGATCCGGTGAAGGTTGAAACGGAGAGGAAAGCGATCCTTCATGGTGATGAAGTGGTGGAGGTGAAGAAGTCGGTTACGGTTACGTATCCGGATGCTCGGACGAAGACCGTTGCTCCGTTGAAGCTTGAATCGGAAGAGGCGGAGCAAGAAACGAGTCCTGTTGTTCTCTGGCAGGTATGTATCTCTATCCTCGGTTTTTGAACCCTACTTGTTTGATTTTGCTATTTTTAATCTTAAATGAGTTTGGAGTTAATTCTGGTATTGAATATTTCACACAAGCGGGCCACGAGATCGAACCTCGTTAATCTTATCTCCGTTTCATCTCAATCACGATATTTCTACTCCTAAAATGTACAAAAATGGTCAGTTTTACCATCAACTCGTTATTTATCGGTTTTTATTGTTGCTGATTATGTAATTAAACCGAATTTTTGTAGTTTGATGTTGATAACCTGTAATAGAAAGAAATCTAGGGATTTTGATGTTGACAATGAAGAGAGTGTAACAATCGATATTCCTTTGATCCAAGGTAGTGACGGTGAAATTTGGGGCAAATAAGCTACTACATATTGCTTGAAATGTGGATAAAACCCATTGATTCTATTTTTATACGTCTTGGTTTGCTTAAAGTGAGTCCAGATGTAGGCATGGATGGTTTTACCCACTGAATCGCCCATGGATATGTTGTAATGAGGTGGACGGTGATGCTTCACTTAAATTCTAGCTTTTCTCAAATCTATGGCCCCCAAAGACCCTTATCAACAATAAAGGGGGTCCAAGTGTAGTTAGAAGCACAAGATTTTTATTTATTTATTTTTCAATTATTTTGTCTTCCTGTGTTTATTTTCCATGTGGCCTAGTGTTGAGGTTCACATCAATGGAGAACAGATTGGGCAACTTTAGTAGAACAATGACTAATCATTCCAATGGATATGGCATAATCTGAATAACTCATCATAATTCATATTTACCTTGGAATCGAACCTTAGAGATAAACTTCTGCTGTTAGAAATGTTATGAATCCATTCTTTAACTGTGAAGTGAAATGTTCAAAACCGAACTTGATGGGAGGTCGGTGTTGAGTATAAGAGATTCCCTTTCCTTTTTGCCAAAAGAACACATCGAATATATTGATTTTTTTCCTTAATTGGGTCGGCAAAATCTAGCTTGGTATCTTTACAAATTCGTAGTCAATTATCTTCTTGGATTAAGAAAAAACCATGCTATATAAATATGACATGCTGAATATGAGGTGCATGATTCTTTTCTCATAAGAAATGGGTAAGAAGGAGCATTAACAAACCTTATTATGGAACTTGTATGAGTATTTTAACTTGTAACTAAAGAGAAGGAGAAGGGAACACGGCATTGGACGAATTCAGGAGATATTTGACACAAAAAGACGTCTACTATAAGCCATACCTGTTTTAGTAACGTAATACCATGGTTAGATGTGTAATCAGAATTATATCCTAAGACGAAACTAATTCTTACAACCTTCATCCCTAAACAAATTTACCATTTCTTTTGGCTTTTCCAAAAGTAAACGGAACAGTGTTAATTTACCTTTCTACCACCCATCCGTAACCATCCAAGATATTGGTGGTGTTAGTTTCAATACACAGGTTTGGTCTAATTTGTCATTATGGAAATGGGGATGTCTAGACTAGTGAATAGTGATTACTGGTAAAACTTTCCAAGATACAATCTAAACAACTTCTGTTTTTTAGGTTTACGCAATCGGAGGTTTCTTCATCTTAAAGTGGGCTTGGGGACGATGGAATGAGCGCAGGGCAAGGAAGAAGCCTTCTGGTGAAGACACGCCATCTCCATCACCTACAGCTGGTGAGGATTAGTGTCTATGAAATCTGGTCAAGATTTAGTTCTTTTACATATGGCATATAATTCACATACTCTGTGTTAAACCCGAAAATTAAGTTGAATACACGGACTCTATAATTTCGGTCCTACGACACTTGCATTTTGCTTTTCTAAGTAGCTTCCATATTACTTTCACACACAAATTATGAATACATCTGTATGATCAGAGCATGGTGGAACATGTTAGGAACAACCGATCCTTGGTCGAGATGACCGGATTGTAGTTCATGATCATTACATGCACTTATCCGCAATGACCACCGTTGTGATCCATTAAGTCATTGATCTGGGATTTTATTGCAAGTATCAATTATTTCCCAATGATTCTTAGTTTTTTCACATGGTAGAGAATTTCTAAGCAATGTTCTAAGACGAAAATTTGCCCTCACCTTGGGTTTGGATTAAATAGAGCCAAGGCCTTATCTTTTGACACAAATTATAGTGACGATAATGATACCATTTTACGAGAATATAAAACACTTGATACAATAACCATCACATGCGATAAACTGATGATACAGACATGATGGACATAGGCCAAGTCGCCTGAATGCTATTTTGTCCCCATACAGTATTACATGTGATGGTTGCTAGATGTTCTCGTTTGAACCTCCGGCTACAAATGTGAGTTTGTATACCTACATGGGATCCCAAACAAAGTTCCAAACATAAGATGAGTTGATATTATTGGTTTCTACTTGGAGTAAAGCCCAACTCATTCAGTTGAGTTCTAACAACTTAAATATCGTTTTGCACGAATCATATTTACTGTCTGACAAAATGTTATTGTACATTTTTTAAAAATGTGTCTGCGTCTAGGTGTGCTCATGAATTGGGTTGAAGACATTTGAACAACCCAATCTTGTGCTTGTGGTTTGAAAAATCTTAATCCAACACAAACCAAAGTACAAACCAACCAAACTCAAACCGTACGGTTGATACTTTGGTACATTGACTTATTCTTCTAATATTGAATATGTTATTTCTCTACTTATAATATATTTTTCATCATCAATTATTTACATTCAATTAATTTTCTCAATTTGCATATATATATATGTTTACAATTACTGAATATATATATACGAATGAGTTATATAGAGATGGAGAATAGATTGAAAATATGTGTATATGAAAAAGGTATGTAATAGTGTAATTGTCTAATGTATATATTAATAGAAACTCAACAATTATATTAAATCCAAAAAATACAAAGACATCGGGTTCATCGGGCTGTGGTGTGTTCAAATAATGGTGGCCCAATTTCAACCCAATATTTACAGTTTGAAAATTTTACAACTCGATTTGAAATCGGGTTGCTTCGAGTTGAGTTATTTCATGTTAGGTTGGGTTGGGTGGGGTTGGTCGCGTTTTTGAGCATTCCTAGTCGAGCCCACATAAAGTATAAAAACAGACTTGTAGAAGAGTATTTGTGACTTCATAAGGTCACTTTACTTTAGGTGCCGCTTATTAATCACTTACTCGGTAAGTCAGTAAGTGGCTAGGTGCTTACATGTTATTTTACCTTATTGGATGAACATGTCAATGATTAAGAATCTTATCTGATAAGAGTGATAACAAGGATCAAGAGTCTTTTCCAATAAGTGAGAGTAACGACTCTTACCAGGTAAATGGTTATTGCCTTATTGGATATACTGTTTTATACAATGCCATTTTAATTGATTAAAATCTTAACCGGTAGGTTAAATAAAATTGTTGATTCTTACCTTTAAGCGTTTGATAAACAACCCTAAATTCGTTAAGTCTTCTTCATGGTTTGTCCATGATATTCATTACAAAATCGCGAGGTTGAATTCTTGTTCAATCAACATCAAGATTTTACATTTATGATTTGATCGAGATTTTCTGTTAAGATATGACTTATCTAAGCATATAATAAAACATTTAACAAAAATCCTTAAAAATCATTTTTATGCATGAAATACTATTTATTGATATATATTACTTAAAATTCAAGATTATAACTAAAATGTGCGTAAGTACAACTTTTTAAAGTTTCATGTTTGAATTTGTGTAACTAACTGCAGATAAACATAATCAAATACAAGATAAACATCTCATTTTAAATATAAAAAATCTAAAATATAATTAGAATAATCAATGAGTTCTAATAAAATATTTAATTATTATCTTTATAAAAAAATATATTATTAAACCAATTTTTTTTAAAGAAATACACAAAAAAAGAGAAATTTTATATAGTCAGTTTGGTACCAATATCAATATTTTTTTTTAATTTTTTTTTGTGATATATCTTCATATTTATGTTTTATTTAAAAATAAAAACATTATAGTTCTTTCAAAATTACATAAAATAGTATTATAACATTGCTTGAGACAATAAAAATAAAAACGAAATATTAAAATCGAAATGCATCTCGCTGTATTATACATGTATCCTTTTAGTTGTGTATTATATATAGGGGTGAAATTGTAGGAGAGGTTACAAAAATATGAAAAATAACATAAAAACATATAAAAAGAATATCTATGTATAGGTGTATCAAATAAAATAAAATAAAAAAAGTTATTTTAATCTTCGTTTTTATTATTTAAATTTTACCAAAATAATTTATATATTAAATGCCTTTTTATGGAAATTAAACGAAAATTTAGTTTTTTGATGACGATAAATTATTGAGAATGGTGGCACGTGACTTGGAAGATTTTGTATTTATTAAGAAAAAAGTTATTATGAGATATTTAGGGAGAAAAGGGAACGAGAAAGAGAGAAACAATGAGAAGGAGAAGAAGGTCATTTTACAGGTTAGGTTAGAAATAGGGACTGAAATTAATCAATCGCAAAACGATGAGAAAAAACAAAAACGGCCGAAACAAGGGAGCCGAGCCGGAGCCGGAGCCGGAGCCGGCAAAGTGGCAATCACGTCCGGTGTGTCGGCTTTCGCCTTAACTAACCCCCCAATGGGATTCCACGTGTCCATCCTAACCCCTTCCCTTGACGGCCGACTTCTCCGTCAACTTATCCTCCCTTCTCTCCGTTTTTCTCCGTCAACCGATAAATTTATATTTCTATATCGTAAAAAACGCCGGTCAACTACCCTCTCTCTCTAAAAACCCTACCTTCCCCTCTCTCTCTACAACAAACTTTTGCCTTCTTTCTCTCTCTATAAATCTTTTAGATCGGTGTTCTCGCCGGCCACCAGATTTCTTAGGTTTCAGGAAAACACATGGAAGACGACGAGGAAAGCCAGTCACATCCGTCCGCAGGATCTGGATCTCCGGATTCTCCGCGTTCTAATCGCCGGATAACCGTCACGGTGGCATCCGCCGCGCCTCCGCAGAATACGTTGACGTTAGCCCTACCGATACAGCAGCCGAGGACCGTCGGCGGCGTTGGCGGTGGTGGGAGTGGTGGTGGTGGAGGAGGAGGTCGTGAGGATTGTTGGAGCGAAGGTGCCACCGCTGTGTTGATTGATGCGTGGGGAGAGCGGTACCTGGAGCTGAGCAGGGGGAATTTGAAGCAGAAACACTGGAAAGAGGTTGCGGATATAGTTAGTAGTCGGGAGGATTATATGAAGGCTCCGAAAACAGATATTCAGTGCAAGAACCGGATCGATACGGTCAAGAAGAAGTATAAGCTTGAGAAGGCGAAGATTGCCTCCGGCGGTGGCCCTAGTACGTGGGGTTTTTACGATCGGTTGGATCAGCTTATCGGCCCTACGGCTACTGGGAAGAGTGGTTCTTCATCGTTGACTACTCCTCCGCCTTTAAGAGCTGTTCCGATGGGGATTCCGGTCGGGGTTAGATCGGCACCTGTTCAAAGTCTAAGGCTAAAGCAGCAACAGGAGCGACAACAACAACTCCACTTGCAGCAGCAGCAACAACAGCAACTTCAACAGCAGCGTAAGCGGCTGCGACCCCCTCCTGCATATTCAGACTCATCTGAATCTGAACCAGAGCCGTCTCCGGACTCGCCTGAATCAGATTCCTACGAGCAGAAACGCCATAGACTTCCATTTAATGCAAGTTCCACCGGTAGGCAGCAGCAGGATCGGGGGCGAGGAGGAAGAGAGAAGAATTGGGGAGATTCCGTTAGAGAATTGACTAAAGCGATAATGAAATTTGGGGAAGCATACGAACAGGCGGAGAGCTCGAAGCTGCAGCAGATGGTGGAGATGCAGAAGCAAAGCATGAAATTTGCGAAGGAGCTTGAATTGCAAAGGATGCAATTCTTCATGAAGACACAGCTAGAACTGTCGCAGCTGAAGCATAGTAGGAGAGGTGTTGGGAACAATAACAACAACCATCACCATAGTCATAATCATAATCAGAGTCTTAATCATCACAGTAGTAACCATAATAATATAAACAACAACAATCATAGTGATGACAGCAATAACTAAACTAGGGTGTTCTTAAGGTTTGGATTCAGAAACAATTGGCTTATTAATTAAAAAGGGTTAATGATGACCCTCTTTTAGGGTGTCTAGGGAGATGTATGTAATTGGATTTGCTTGTTTTAATTTAGTAGTTCCCTGTTTTCCCATCTATGCCAAACGATTTGAAGGTATCATTCAATGCATAAATGAGATTGGTACGTTTTGAGTAGCTTAGATCCAAATTGGCATTCATTTGAGACCTTGGAAATTTCTTGTCCATATTCTTTTCAGGTTATGCTTGGTTTTCCAGGTTGAGTGGTTCATCAAGTATTTTCCCTGAAAGGTTTAGGCTTGGAAGGTGATCCTTGAAGGCCTCAAAGGTCAGTTATTTTACCATTTTTCATTCTTATAGCACATGCAAAATGCATGTCCATTCAGTTGCTTAGTTTTTTAAAGTCCCACAAAAAGTTGCAACTCTTTTTGGTACTTCCTTTTCATGCCAGCTCTGTAATTTGTTCATATAGTCACCATAAGGATAAAAGGTGAAATAGATGAAGATTTAAGTCGCTGATAACAAACATTAATGATCTGGATTCTGGATGGATCAATATGTGAGAAGGGGTACTTGTGAGGGTTTTCAGATTCAAAATTGATTGGGTTTTCTTTATATAAACTTGTAACCATATAAATTCATATAAGAAGGAATAACAACTTTAGAAAGGGTATCGACCTTTATAACAATTGTAATCAGCTTTAGGTTTTAGAGAACAATTGTGATTCAGGAAAAATCATTATATTTGGAGAACTTGAATGCTAGTGTATTTGACTTCAATTTAAAAAAAAAAGTTCTGCTTACATAATATTGGGCAGAAAGTTTTGAGCTTCCCAATTCTGTATATCTGCAAAAAAAATTCCCAGTAAAATAAAGCCAATTACAATGGCTACAAATGTCAAATCACTTTCTTAGAAATGGTGTAAAAATACATAAGAAGGATTCATATGATTACGGGATCTTAGAAGTCCATGATTTGAATCCAAAGATAGGAAATGGAAGCTGCAGTCCTTTTAACATGCTTCACTCTGCTTCTGTGCAACTCATTTATTTGAACAACACCCACAACATTATGATTGTAACCTTAACCTTAATTGATTTGATTTTAGTCCTGAACTACGATGGACTTGAACCCAGCCTTTTGGATGGAGATAGGGTGTCTGATTCAAAAAGATATTTGTTTTTTCTCCTTTCTTTTTGTTGTGAGCTACAGTTGCCATCAAATGTTACAGTTGAAAAACATTTGGAATGCCTGTAGATTTGTTCCCATCAATTGCCATTATAAAATGGTTATTGGCACATGACTACTAGGCTTTGGATAAACTGCATAGTAGTGTGTTATATAAAAGATCTTGTACTGAAAAGTAATTTCCTAGAATTGGCCAAAAAAGCTAGGTGAAGAATGATGGTAGAAAGTAAGCATGGGTTGTAGAGTTTATGTAAGTTGATGCTGAAAGCAGCAGACATTGTAATCACAGAATGTTACTGGGTAGAATCATCAGAGCTGGCTATCATTAATTATGGAATTCTTGTAAATGTCTTGTGATTCGAGCATCTGTGTGTGTTTTTGTGGTGTATATTAATCCAGTGTCCTGTGGGCATACCCCAACACTCGCAAACTACTGTTTTTTCCAAAGCTAAAACTGTTCATATTTTGGGAATGTCTTCAATTACACAGTTTCTCTTTCTTGTTTATTTTAAAATTTGGCCTAAAAATTAAGAAAACAAGTTAATAGTTGTTGAAATTAATTATTGTATTGTTAAATGTTGAAAATACAATTATTGTAAATGGTTTTAATTATCAACTATATCTTAATCTTATATACAATTATAAAACCAATTCACTTGGTGCTTTTATTTCACTACATTACATTAACTAAATTATTCTACTTGATGAGAATGTCTATCAACCAACCATTATTTTTTTTATAACATCATGATTTGCAAGATTTAACCAAATTGGGACAAAAGTTAACAAGTTAGATCGTAATTTGTTGGTTGTTTGAACAAAACATAATGCAATAATAAAGAAATTTATAGACACATTACTATCTTTGGACATTATATTTGTTGAGGAAGGAGATCATGTGAGAAGTTAACACATCAAGAAGTTTCAATATAATATATGATTACATTTCTTTGGCATATATAATTAAACGTTTATGTGTTGTCTATGCAACATGTGTTTAATCATATATAATTAAGCTTGTGTTACTGTATCGTACATGTAATCATATATGATATTTAAGCTTTTAACTTTCTTACAAAATGTTTAACTTCTCGTTTGAACGTATCTTTATATTTATTATACTTTTAAACATTTATTTTAAGTAATGCATTCATAAACAAATTATAATACAATGAATTTAAAAGTAAACTCAAAACTTCAAAATAATATCGAGTCTTGGCTTCCTAAGAGGTCAGGGGTTCTAACCTCACTACACGTGAGGAGGATGTGAGAGTTATTTGTTGCATTTGGCGTATATAAATATTATATACTTTAAAAAAAATCGTATCTTGGGAAGTATGTGACTTGATAAAAAAACAAATTAATCAATTCCGATTATTTGGACCATGTGACTTCGGTTTGGTACAAAAAACCAAACCGATTGGTTTGAAAAAATTTCTACTCATTCCTATGTACCAGAACCGAAGCAGATCAGCTGAATTCAATTCCATGGTTCATGCTTGGGCAAGAGTTCATCCAATAATCTATATGCTACCGAACTAAAATAAGAACCATTCCATAAAAGAATGGTCTACAATTACTAGAAACAAATTGGCAGTTGGTACACCCATCTTTCAACATAGCTGATTGGTGGTCTGTTTGAACAATGGAGATGGAGCTACCACCAACCTATAAACATTTTCAAACACCAGATTATGTCAAACTCTTAGGCCAAACATTGATAAGTTAGTTGTCAACTAAAAAAACTAAAGATTGATTAATAAGCTAGCAATTAACCAATAAACTAGTCATGTTGGTAAAAAGTAGCTGATAAACCATATAACAATATAAAATGATCTAAAAAGACATTGAAAAAATATATATTACCATAATTAGAAAAAAGTGAAAATCCCCTAGAAATTGTTCAAACGGTACTTCAAGTAGCATTTCAAGTATTAGCTTATAAGCTAGTTTATCACTTACCAATTAACTTTATTGCAAACTCTACCAAATTTGTTTTTGTGCATAACAAAGTTTTTTGACATCTTAAGAACATCTCCAACAGATTCTCTAATTTTTTTTTCCAAAATGGAGAATGAAACTTCAAATCTCTAAAATAAAAATACATTCAACTCTAACAGATTCACCATTTTAGAGATTACAACATTGATTATATTATTAAAATATTTTATTCATCTAATAAAATATTATTTCTCCATCTAAAATTTTAATTTTAGAGTGGTGGGAATATATTGAAAAATATCTGTCTCAATTCATTTTTGGGGAGAACTCCAAATTTGGAGAATTTACACTCTCTCCTACTTTCTCCATTTTGGAGAATTTGTTGGACCAAAAAACATACCCAAAACCCCCAAAATCTCCATTTTCTCCGTTTTGGAAGAATATGTTGGAGATGCTCTAAACAACATATTTGTACTAAAACCTTGTGTCAAACTTCTAGCAGAACTTAAACTCACCTGCAAAACGCCATCCGTTGCATTTTGTCGAGAAGCTGACATCAAATGCCCGCGCTGTACTATATTCATAGCTCGAACAACTGCAAGCAGTTTTTGTCATTCAGGTTGGAAGTAGCTATCTTGGATCGATAGCCGGTCAAAAGCATCATAATCAGCTCTCAAACCTACAAATTGGCTCCTAAGTCGAGCACAACCTGCATTGGGCCACCTACACCCTCCATCTTGTGTCCGTAGAGGGCACAAAGTTTCACATATCCGATTGGTCGGGTTCACGGTGACATCATCATCTGCTGCTACAGCAATGGAGACGAACATATCAGTCTTTTCATCATATATGTGTCCATCACCTACTGTTTCTCCAGTTGGAGAGGAAGTTAGAGTCTGGAGTAGATCAGCAGGATGGTCTTCAATGTCGGCTATATGGTTATCATCAATATTCGCTGAAACATGAACTCTACATCCGAGTGACTCTATTGCTCGCTTAATGCCAGTGTTTTCCCTGCTGGCTTTTTTAGCCAAAGCCACGGCCGAGTTGCTGACCTGGTTCTCGTTAAGTAGATCGGCAGTCAAGGATTTGACTGTCGTCGTTATTTCTCTGGTATACCTCTCAGCCACATCCTTTGCCTGAAAATATTGATATATGACGCAGAAGAAAAACGCAATGGGACTGCTAAAATTTGGAAATGGGGAAAAAGCGTTTGTCTACCATCAACACAAATGACTTGGAATACCAAAGGGTCATTGGCCCAGCGGTATCGAAGTTACTGGTCCCAGGTGGTCAAGGGTTCAAACCTCACCAAAGGTGATAAGTGTAAAGCATATTAATTACCCTTTCGAGTTCCGAGTATTTCTCCATCATGTTTCTGCATTGGGCTTCGACCTCGCCAGATTGAGTTTCTGAAGGACATGACCACCGAAGATGGAATTGGGGCCATAATGTTGGAGCTAAAGCTGCGGCTGGTGGTAACAATGGACCATCGTGTTTAGATGGCTTGTAAAAGATGTTGTAGTGTACATGAGAACTTCCTTCCGAAGCACGCATATCATCCAAATACTTCCACAAGCATGCACACGCATCAAAAACACCAGCTTTTTCTCTTTCATTCTCGCTGAAATTTATGAAATTACTCTTTCGATAACGGTGCATTCTAATGTTTCGACCTATAAAAACTTAAAAAAAAAAACTGTATAATTCGTTACAAAATGTGTACCTGTTGCACAAGAAATTCCCAAACCGACAAGAAAGCACACAGTCCAGAAAATCTACCAAAAAAACCTTCATGATCCATAAGAGTCAAAAAGCATTAACATAATCATCGTGTGAAAGAGCAGAAACAATCTGACTAGAAAACATATGTAGTCCATGAAGGGAGATACCGAAGAGAACTCAAATGCAAAAGGGTATATCCGTAATAACTGTGAGACACAATCAACCCACTGTCAAATGAAATCAATATAGGATGAAATTCCAGATAAAGATGCTAAATTTACACAAGCTTCATGAAAAATTAAGATCAAGAAACTAGACATTGTTGGAAAGGCTTGCCTGAAGAAATATTGGAGAATAATTGTTTGAATGCTGTGTATTAGAAGAGACTGGAGCTTGAGATGTCAATGATCCGGATGACTGGCGCAAAGATGATGTACAGATGTTGGGACTTGAAGAATGCCTAGAAATTTCTAAGGGCATGTTGCCACTACCAGTAAAACTTGGCATTCCAGCTCGGTCTGAAAATGGATGACCAAATGCGAGCCAATCCTTTTCAACAAGAGCCTGCATGAAAACGGAAACAACATAAAGTACAAAGAAGCAAACATACCAAGTATAGGTTGGGGGTATTAGGGGGCGAGGAATGGGAATAATGATGAATAATGGTGTTTGGTTCAATACAATGCAATGAGAGAATCATCCATACCCTAGTAAATCGCCCCATTGAAACGAACCAAGTGCCCCTTACTATCACAAGCATTTAACTGAGTCATTTGGTTTCAAAGATAATTCAGAGTGATTACATAAACTGTACCAATCAGGTTGCTCGTCCGTTTTCCATCTAAATCAGATGTTGGATTGTCATGTCTCATGTGCATATCACGTGTCCAGAGAATAGGGGTAATATTGGTAAATACAAATCATTTAGTTTATATATAACCATTTGTTCTATATTAAAAAAGACAGCCTAAAACTAAAATATTAAACTAAAAAAACCCACCTGTCACTTTCTTTACCACACTCTCCATTGATGACCACATCATATGTGGAAAGAATTTAAAAATCTTGAAGAGAAGAAGATGACAAGGAAGCTTATGTATTTGATTTTGATTTTTCATTCCTGCTTTGATTTATTTCTTCATTTTGTTAATTATGGATTTTTCTTTAATTTTCAAATTTGATGTTCTATATAAAATTTATTCTGTATTTTCACGGAGGTTTTTGATTTAAATTTATGGTTTCAATTTGGTTTTTATATGCATCTTTTTGATTTTGGTTATTTTTTCTATTTTCATTTTCATTTTAGTTTTGATTTTTGATTTTGGTGTTCTATTCTATTTTAGAGATGAACCCAAAGTAAAAATAGTGAACATCAATGCGGTGGAGGGAAGGCGATTGGTTTGTTTCACTGTGAGTGGTGGGATGAAACTACGATTTTAGCCTTCTATACCTGATCAACTTAACACTGCAAATTTATGGAGGACAAAGTTGATGGTCAAAGGATGCAAATATGCATTCTTTTGGCAAGGAATGACATGTGAAACTTAACTAAGGGCAACTCCAACCTTCACACCAAAAAAAACACTAAATAGGTGGGCTCATAAACACCAAAAAAATACTCAACTCCAACCTTTTGCCGTTCATCTCTTCCACGGCAAATTTGCCGTTCATTTCCTTCCTCCGGCAAAACTTTGGTGTTTTTGGCGTACGATTGGATCCAAAAGAACGGCAAAACTAGAGTTTTGCCGTTCGATTGGAGTTGCTCTAAGGGGTGGTTTCTTTGTTTTTTTTTTCTATTAAGAATGATCCAGATTCCTTATCCAATTCAACCATTCAAAGTCATTGCAATGACTGAAAAAATAAATTATTAACCTAATTAATCAAAAAACAGACCCCAAGGCTGATCATGTAATTCAGTTGCTAAATAAATTGGAGTTCATACCATCTTTGTTGTTGTTCATTCAAATCAGTTTGTTATCCCCCGAGGAACTATGCTCTTAATTTTGCTTTTAGTTACCAATCCAAAACTCAGCAAATAAAATGGTTGAACAAGTTCTTAGATGAGAATACAAAGGCCAATTTTTCATATCATGGGAGAAATTTCCTTTTATATTGTACCAACAAGGCAATCAGGAATGTATTCCATACCTCGATGAACATATTAAATCCTACATCATATAGGAACTTTCAGTAATCAAATGTATTATGCCCAGTCAATACCTGAAATCCATCTATGGTCCGGTAATATGGATCAAGCAATAAACTTGCAAGGGCGACTAGCTGGCTTGTTCTGTCCCATCCATCACTGCACAACACAATTGCATGCTGATGAAAAATGTGATATAAACAGATTTTTTTTTCTTGAAACTCTAATACATCTATATTGTCGTGCAATAATGATTTCATTGACAACCTTGAAGCAGAATATAGAATGAATACAGCTTGAAACAACCAGAGCTGTCAACATAAAACATACCAACATGATTTTTAATTTTTACAATTAAGGAGCAATAGAAAATACAGATAAGCATGGAAGTTGTTTTATTGTATCAGGAAGAGGGGGGAGGTAGTTGTTTTATTGTATCAGAAACAAAGCACAAAACTGGAAAGATCACAGTTACGACTGAAGCTTACTACCAGAAGGTCCACTAACTATTCTGGGCAATGATAAGTTGATACTTGCATTGGCTAAAAAGTCCAGCCTGTTGCTGGACAAGATTGCTGTGAAGAAAATATAAAGACCTGTATAATCTGCTAGTAGATCAGATGAAATTCATTTACTGCACCTGCTCCGGACAAGTTCAAAGCAATTAATAGAAATCCGGTATTTAACTTTTCCACAAACCCAGTTCTCATAAATTGAAAACTCATAAACTCCAAGTCTCTAAGGTACTAATAAGCAGCTTGAATTTTGGAAGGGGGAGGGGACAAAGCCATTCTGGGCAATTCTAAAAATTAATTTAGCAGTAGGACAAGGTTTTCTAGATATCTTAACTTTAGGATTCTTGAATATGCTATGCTAATATATTAGCGCGATTCTATAGTTGATTTGTGTAAATATATTCAGGGGATCAGGTAATATATTTCCTGACATCTTTTAATACGTCAATATATATACAACTAAGTAACCTATTTAAGGAAACCATGCTAAGCAAAACCCCAGTTTACTATATATATCTAACAATTTGTTTCACCGATGGCTAATCCTTTGTGATGGTAGGCGTAATCTATACTTGCTGTTCTTTCCTGTTTTTAGCCTCTTTTCACGGAAACAACTGCTCTACTCTTTGCGGTACATTTTGCCCTCCCCAGACCCCACCTCCGGGTGTAAATATACTGTGTTCTTTAGGTTTGGTTTACTCTCTTTATTACATTTGAAAATGTTGTCACAACTTATGAATATAATCATTCGTCAGAATACACACAACTGACACAAGTGGAACGAAGCTACCTGCAGTATAACAAAATTCCAGAAGGAAAGCTTAAGAGTACAACGCTCACAGAGAATATATAGAACATTAAGAAAAATCCAGGCAGGATCTAGAAACTTTCAGGTACCTATCACCACTGTCATATTATGTTTGGATAAAGCTAAGCAATTGATGGATCAACATATCAAACACTTAAAATATGTAGGACCTCTTGTCAAGCTAAGAGCACATATTGATTTTACCTGCAATGAACAAGCATCGATGCCGACTCCAAGGCAACACGAGCAGCAATCCAAGCAGAACCAGCCAATACATTCTGAATATGTATTAACCAACCACTATCACCAAAGGTTGATACTGAAGCAGACATACTGCTGAGATTACCTCCACCCCAAGTCCATCCACCATTTCTCTGTTGGAATAGACCATACACATTACAATCATGCAAGGGAGACAAGGGTGTGGACATATTGCAAGCTACAAAAGCACTAATATTTTCCTTGAACAATGTCTCCAATCAACATCATACTACTGGGGAAATTTCCTGTGCATACATATTTGTTAGTGTGAAGTCATGTATTTTGGCTATGGCATCACAAAGGTAATTTAGAAGGTCCAGTCTGATTCACAACCCTTTAGACCATAAATGAACTAACGCTTACCTCTAGTTAAACTGAGGTGGTCATGCACAAGACAAACAGAATGCAAACTGCAGTGACAAGAAGGGAGATAAGAACTTGACAAGAGCTTGAGTATCATGTAATTTATTACTTCATCCAAAAAAAAGATCACAGATACTACAGCCCATAAATCAGCATTTCCTACGAAAGGCAAACACTCGGATTTTTGTGCATATAATTGAGCACAAACAGCAAGTTTACGATACAAGCACATTGAAATGGTTATCCATTTTGCTCAAGAGAAAGTTGCCATTGGTCAAGTTCGTGTGATGTTACCTCCTCGTCTCAATACTCTGACATATTCACTAAAGGCCTTCCTTCCACCTTATTCTCGGAATTTCGGTCCAGTCTCACCGTTCGTCCCCTCCTTATTCGACCGCGGGGGTGTGATAGTCGTTATGTAAATAATATTTCTAATATGTGCTTTGATTTGTTTCCTTTCATGTATAATGTAGGTTTCCTTTGTAAGCTCTTTGTATTGTTATATATTTTTGGTTAATAGAATGGAGAGGGCAAGGGATTACATCCTCTTACAGAAACAAATACTGACAACAGACAGAATAAGTAGACTTTTAAAAGTCTATACATCAACCCTCCTAAATATCCATAACTAACATCAATCAACATAGACAAATGCAGAAGCCTGACTCCCACCACTTCATGAAATATATAGCAATATAAGATAATGTTCCAATTTCACGTTGCAGGTAAAGTTAGATGTTTAGGGATTCCATTCATACCAAGAATGATGACATGCCATCCGATGATTTAGTCCCATGTGTATCCAAGTAGTCTCTGAGACGAACAAGACTCTCTCTCATAGCATGGATATTGTCTATCCCAAAGAATACAATCTAAAAGAAGATATGTACAGAGAACTTGATGTTAGAAATCAAAAACCATATGTCATGCGAGGGGAACACATAGTTCTAGCTCAAACCTTTGACAGACCTCAGACTGGAAATAATTGGAAGATGACTCTGAACCCCCACCCATGGCTCCATTTGCCAAAGCATTTTTACGGGGTCTTGCATCAGCTATATATAACTTCCTAAGATGAAAAGGATATTCATTTTGGTAGATGTCATTTGCATTATATGTTGGTAAATTAGATATAGACAAAATAACAATAAGTGTTACCATAAAATGGTCTCAGGTAAGATAGAAAATCAACCAAGGAAATTTCAGAATAAAGAAAAGGAGGAAACAAAAGCATATAATCGAAACAACCACCATAAAATCCTTTTATCAAGGAAGATAGGGTGAGGAAGAGAAGGCTTTACCTACGTCCTTCTTTTCCACTAGAAAGTCGAGTACACAGAGCACCAACCAGATTCTCATCAGCGTTGCTGCATTATGTCATCATGAGACAATTGTGACTAAATGTGATGTATATAAGGGACTTGTTAGCATTGGGTAACTCCACCAAAGGAGCACCCTTGAGTCCTTGACTTCGTAAAGTAAGCATTACCTCCTCATATTCATCATAAGGCCAACTAATGGTTGGGATGATCGAGCAAGGACAGCACCAGTGCCTGTGTATCAACAAAATAAATGCAAAGTATGTTGACATAAACTGCATGTTCAAGATGTTAAGGTTAGTGGATGCATGCCGAGTTTTGAATGACTATAAAACTAAATTCAATACATAAGTGCCTAATAGGAATATTAGAATTCACCACTAAAGGATGTATTCCAACAGATTCATGTTAATCAAGATAATGATTAATGACTACTGGAATCCAGTGCTTACGTTTATCACACCATGATATTACAGGCAGTCTACAACGTGCACGAAATGTACAAGCTTTCAGCAGATCTTTATCTCTGAAGTCAGCAACACAAGTGACGAGGTAATATAAAATTGAAAGAGAAGTGCCGATGCTAAGCTCAGATAATTAAAGAGCGAAAACAAGGAAGCACGACTAGAAGATGCCTCACCTGATGGATTTGGGAACTAGTAATGCATATGGGTAAGTTGAACACATGTCATAACTTGTATTCACATCACTAATCCTCCACCAATCATTAGATAATTTGAATGAACCACGTTCTATGGTACCAATTGATGAACGAATTGATCCCATGCCAAGCAGCCGGTAGTACTCGTTCATTAGCCGCACTTTAGGATTGGTCGTACTGCATTTGGAAGGACCAGAAGAAAAGGCATAGAGATCCCAGAGTCTTGCAGGCCTTGTCCATCTCGATAATGCAACAAAAACAGCACGTCTCTGTAGATTAAGAGCCAGCTATATCAATTTTGTCATCTTGAAAACATAGTTTGCTGCCAAATGTGTAAAGAATGCATTGGCAATGGCCAAGTGTTGACGAGATCTTATTTAGCACAAAGTTTAAATTTCAAACTAAAAGTGCTTTCATGATAATAAATAGGGCTATCCTATTATTAGAATTATCCTTGACAACATATATCAAAATAAAGCCCATTTTTTAAACCATTGCGATAATGCTACCACATCTCCTTAGAATTGAAATTATGAATAAAAAGTGCACCAAAGAACTAGATCTCTATATGTTGTTCAATAATCAGCATTCGAAAGATAAGACGTGTTAAAGCCATTCAAAAGAAAATAAGTAGAACAGAGAAAGAACAGCACATTTCTCACACAGGCTCAATTCTGCCTTTCCCAGGTGGATGCCATGTGCATCTACAGTTTTACATAAAGAAGAAAAAGGAAAAAAGAGAGTATTTACTTGATATCACTGTTAACTTATTATGAACTTGAATTTGGTTCCTATTGTTCTAGAATTACTGAACACTCCCGATCTGGTCAATGGATTCTAAAGTTGGCAAATCAAGTAATGCAAGTAACCACAACCAAGCTAGCAAATCTCTTTTCCAGGATATTTTAATCCTAAAACAACATCATTCAGGAGCAAATGTGTGTTAGTAGAATGAAACCAAAAAAATCTAGCCACTGCCACAATCATATAATGCTCATTGCTTCATCTCAAAATCACAAGTAGAAAGTCAAATATGAGTTACCTTAGCCACTTCATGTAACTAAAACCTGCCATTTGAGATTTGACGTCAATTTGCAGGCCAAACAAAATATAGGGAAAATATTTACAAGCATTTCCCCCCAAGGATGTGGACAATGATAACATTTCTTCTCACTTCTCATGGCGTTCTAAAGTTTGTTCTTTAAGAACACTAAATCACCATGATTATAAACTCTGAGAATTACAAATCGGTTATGGAAAAATAGTAAGCATTACCTCCTAAGGATGTGGAAGGGACCAGCAACTTCAAGGATTTATTTCATGACAATGATGGCATTTAATTTCTTCCCACTTTTCATGGGATTCTAGAGCTTGTTATTTAAGTATAAGCTAAATTACCATGATATTACAAAAAAAGTTAAAATAGAAGTGCAATGATCATAAATGACCTGCTTAGTCCGAGGGCGAAAGGCGAAGATAATGATTCTCATATCTTTGCCTGCAAAAGCAACAAACATGGCTAAGTAGATTTTTAAATTATCATGCATATGACACGAATCAAGAACTACATCGCCTAACTAGAATCTGCCAACAATCAACTGAACTAAGACATGGTAAAGCATAAGCCAAGGCAGCTATAATCAACAGTTTTTCACACACACACACACACAGAGAAACAGTTGTCAGGACTCGATAACTGGGCACCAAGAACAAGTTTTATCATATAAAGATGTAGAATATCATGACATTAATGGCTAAAGTTAGAACCCTACTTATATAGAGCCTGCAGAAGGTTACCTACTAGGTGGGTTAGGTTTCAAACAACCCCATATAAGAAATCAACAAAATTCATTTCAAGTTATCAACCCAAGTTAGAAATTGATATACATCAACCATTTTCAAAACAAGCCACCAAAGTATAGGTTGGATCAGGTTGCATTTGACTTGGGTGATTTAGGTCAACCAAATAAAATAAAATAAGAAAATCCTGTATAACATCATGTACTTTTTACAAAAATTTCAGTTTGCAACAAGCTTTACGAAACCTAATTTTTTTCTCAGGAAACCTCTCTGGAGTTATGCTTATTACTCTCTCTAAACTAGACACATTTTTTAGAAGCACATGCTCAATTTAACGAACTCACACACACACACTATGATATATATACACACACACACACACATTTTAGCTCAAAGCATTCATAATCCATTAGTTACTATTATTGTTCTCGTTACGTGTGTGCATAGATACACATAGGTGTGTGTATGTGATGTCAACTTCTTCCAAAATATGAAAAAGAAATTTAGAAGGGAGAAAAAAGGTGTTGGATCAACCGGATCAATCCAACCCAAACCCAACCCATTTGACTCATGACCCATTCTAAACAGAAATACCATCTGTACAGATTTTTTTGTTGGCATACACAAGTAAATAAACATTTTTGATATCCAAGATATTTGAACTTTGCAAAAAATATCATGTGTAGAAGTGATCTACCATACCGACGACCTGAAGAAGCCTACGTGTAGGAGTCTTCTCCGACTGCCGAGTACCTGATGGCTGCTTTATTACCTACATCCCCGTAATCACAGAATGAAGATATATCAGTCTACCAGGAGAGATACAAGAACCAATTTTTTAGCATCAATTTTAAATAGTCAAAGCGCTACAAAATTAGCTTGGGGAAGAAAATAAGGATATTCTGGAAAGAAGAAGATTTCAGACAGATCGTCAAAGCTATAACACGTATTTCAACATAAGCTACTTGATAATTAGTGAATGAAAGGTCTAACTATGCGCTTATTTTCCTTAGCATGCCATCCTGATGGACAAAATAAGGACTATATGACTTGGAGGCGCTGAATCCCAAAAAAGAGAATTTAGTGGCAAACAGTTCTGATCAAGTAGATTTACTGGAAGGCACATGTTGTGAGGCTCCCTTTTGAGCGAGCAAGTTGCCTCTTGCCAGGCAGCAGCAGAGAATGAGGAGCTTACACAAGATAGCACCACATCTAGCCAATGACACCACAAATAAATAATAAAGCTAAATACTGAAAATAATTCTACTAGTAATTTAAAATCAGTAAGTGGCCTAAAAATGACTAAAATATTGCTAGGATAAGTGTTCTAACAATAACCAGATTAAAGCCAAACAACTTAATGAACTACTATTTTTTCCCTTCTCTTCTAATCCTTGTCAATAATGATTTTGTACCTTCACTTGGCCTCTTCTTGATTTCTTTATCTATTACTTCATCTTCTTAACGTCCATCATTTGCCAAGTTTCTGGAACAAACAATAGTTCATGCCAAAATCCAAAGTCGTATTATTTTAATTTCTCATCATCCCCCAAAGCCATGAATTTTGAAACGTACAACAGTAGTCAAGGAAGTATTCTTTCAAACAGAAGAGTGGCACAAGCTGTAATATCAAAATGAACCTGTAAAAATTCAGAAAGGAAAACTTACAATCTTATTGAACTTTTCAATGGTAGCCAATGGTATTGTTCCTAGAGCAATAACATCCCTGGATCCTTCACTCTTAAAAAATATAACAGAAATGTATGTCAGATATTGAAGAAATTGACATAGTGTGCATGCATGTGTTTTTTCAGTGACCCTACATGCCTATGGCAACCATAGTTTAGCACATGTAAGGTGTAACCAATTAACCAGTTGTTGAGTAATGACAATATTAGAAATTAGCAAGAACCATGTGATTGCACGTTGCCGTATTCGGCATAACAAGGCACCTGAGATGGAATGTACATCTATGAGACAACCATTTATGCTACAGATCATTTTACACAATTCATTCGTTAGCAGGCTCTTTACACAAATGTAAGAAGCATCTGGACTGCTATATGTTTGGTAAACATATAAATATTTTTGTTATGAGAATAGAAAATGCAAAAAAAGCTTCTGCCCGTGCATATTATTGCCTGCTATCAAAGGTCATCTATAACCATTGCTACAATATACACTTTTCTAGCCTGTCCCACAAGCAGATGGAAATAGACTGCTTTCACAAGTTCTCTAAGACAAGAAGAAACAAAACAACATGACAGATGGAATATTTTCTAGATATGTGGAGCCAACTTCCACTGAACAGAATACATTTTCATTGAATACTTTGTCCCATCAAATATAAGCTCTCCAACTGGAAAATATAGTTGGCTCAATACTCTTATCAGAAAATAAGTTGGTTTATACTACTGCACTCTTCAGTAGCCAGATGGACAACTTACCAAAAAAAGAAGACGGAAATTGGTCACGAACACGGTACCTGCTTCATCGGTGTTAACAAGAACACCATACCCCTAACAGCAAAAATACACAAACTCAGAGAACACTTCCAAATGAAATAAAAATAAGTGTCATAATACACAAGACCTTCCTGCAGAGAATGATTAAGATACAAAGAACTAAATAGAAGATAGAAGAATGTATCTTAACCAAGCAAGTGATGTTTAACTCAAAGAAAACATAATTATATAACCCCTGAATGGTCACGAACACAGTACCTGCTTCATCGATGTTAACAAGAACACCATACCCCTAACAGCAGTATATGCAAACTCAGAGAACACAATGAAATAAAATTAGTGGCATAACAGTGCCAGAACAAGTCTACATCATACCTTCCTGCAGAGACGGATTAGGATACAAAGAACAAGAAAGAGGATAGAAGAATGTATTGGAAACAAGCAAGTGATGCTTAACTCAAAGAAAACATAATTATATAACTAACCCCTGTGTCTCTCTTTAAGATAGCTCTTATAGAGAGAGGAGAGACCCTACATATACAGGTGGGCTGGTTGGTTCGTGACTAGTCGATGTGGGAGTCCAACATGCCCCTCAAACAGAAGCTAGATTGGGTGACAAGTGTGTCGAGCCCCCAATTATGCTAGGCGGCGGCTCTGATACCATGTTAGATCAATAGGTTTGAGATAAGATGAATACTGGAGAAAAAAAAACGTATTCTCTGTATACTGACAGCCGATTGATTGAATACAAAAAGGGAGACAATATATACATGTGGTATATTACATAAATATCCCCGATACTATACATACTAATGACAAGTTTACAAGTAAGGTATATACAAACTAACAATAATGTTACAGTCTGCCTTATATTCTCAGAGTTCTCAATCATACAAATTGATGGCCACCATTGTTGAATTGTTATTACAGAAACTACTGGCATTCCATTAAGATTGAAGGCAACCAAATGGATGCAGCTACCCTGCTACCACCATCTATGGTGCTTGACTGAATATTATTTGCATAAGGTTCTTTACAGGAAGAAACTTGCCAGAGACACAAGTGCAGGACTGATAAACATCTAGTGGAAATCAAAACCTGAGACCTAATGCCACATTGGTTACAAGGCGACAGGGATTGACCATAAGCGCTCCGTTGGGGTCGAGGGACAATTTCTTAATGAAGTCATCTTTGAAAATCTTATAACTCAATAACAAAGCCTATGATATGAAACTGAAACTCGATGCCATTAAACATGAAACATATAACTATAGGGGTACTGAATTAAACTATAGGCAGCATACATGGATTATTTTTGTCATAAGAAATGTATTTTAAACTTAGAGAAGCATTCATGAATAAAAAATAGAAAAAAAGATAATTGTAATGATAAAAGATGCATGTTCTTCTTACCATGTGTTCATACACATATCTTGTTGAGGGACTTCTAATAAAGTTCGCTTGCCTAAACCCTAAACACCATACCGCATTAAATACAACAAAGAACTTGCATCTAACCATGAAAGAAGAACTACATAAAAAATCTATATGGTATCAGTTGCCATAGACACATTTGCAATCACATTTTTGTCTTCGATCAGTGAGATAAAAATAATCCATATCCACATCTAATCTCCCTCCATTCCCATAAAAGAAAAAAACAAAGGAACAATTTTACGCTGGATGTGAAGTAGATTACATTTGACCTTCAAGATCGATACGACATTTTGAGCAATTTAGAGAAAATTGTTAACTACATGAAACATTATAGCAGGTTGTCAAGTACTATAAACAGAATAATGTTGGTGTTCAATAGGCAAGAGAATATATAGCAAGTTGTCATTGGAAACAAGAAAAACACACATGAATTGGTCAATTAAAATCTTAATTTCCAGAAAAGCTTACATCAGCCATAACGCGCTCAGCTTTCAACAAAATCTCAGATAATCCATAAGAAGCGGGATGCTGTAAACTCCACAAATAAACGACGGAATCGATTATAAAATCTGATCGTAAAATGGACGGAAACTGAACATAAAATCTTAACTAAACCCAAAGCCTATGAGGAAGAGCATATACATCGATCTTGGTCCAGTCGGCAGCGTCCAAGCCGCATTTGCCTTCAATCTTGTCGGAATCAGTGAGTCGAGTTTCCGCTTCACCGAGAGAAGTGGACCTTCGAGCACTCGGCGACGCCATACGAAAAGATGGTGGTGGTGGCCGGTTATTTATATATGTAGAGGAGGCAATGCATGTGAAGAGGATCACGAGAAATTACGATTTAAAAAAGAAATAACAGGAGAATATGATAGATACATAGCAAGGCGTAGTAAATTCGGTCCTTCAATCAAAAAAGATCCCTAACCGAATATTTCCAACGATTTCAAAACAAAAATATTGATATAATATAATTACAAAAGGGACAAATTACATGAAAAAATAATAACGTTATTCAAAACAAGAATTAAATTAAAATACGTTATTTTTTTATACAATTTTTCTTAACAAAATTTATTTCAAGAAGTTATGGTATTTTATTTCTTTTAGAATTTAAAAAAAAATCTATTATACAGAATCTTTTTTATAAAATATGCCCACAAATTTTCAATTTTTTCAATTTATGTATATGCTATTTAATATACATAGGAAAACTATAGAAATGATAAGTTTTCTGAGAATTAATCTCAACATATTGTTACATATATACATGTAAGGTACCCGTATGCGATAGCGGAATATGAAGTTTTCTTGTAAACCAAAAATCAACTCGGAAATACGTCTTGATAATAAATTTGTCTTCAAAAAAACTTTCTTAGATTATCTTGTGTTTCGGCTGCGTGGTAACCTAAAATATAAAACAACCATGCCTTGATCAATAAGATGATATACACGTTTACAGAGTAATGTTAGAGTGTTCCCACTGTCCATCTAAGTTGTTTGTACAAGATGCTTTATGCAACAAATCTATTGAAATAAGAACACATCTTTTCGAAGCACGTAGGTTGCAGAAAATATCGTCATTAATTCTCACACCACATCATAAGACATCAGTGTTCAAGTGAACGGTTCAACATCACCAACCTTCTCTCCCCGAGCTAGGCCAAAAGCCAACAGCATGTCGAAAACTGCTTGTTGTGTTAGTCAACTTATGTTTTCTTTGTTCATGCCGATTTTTAATCAATTTGTGTCCAAGACCAACTCATTTAACAATAGGGCCACTTATGTGAGGTTTGAAGCATTATATAAATACAACATTCATTTTTCAAGCAAATAGAAAAAGGTTACGTAATGATCTACGTGTACAGTGCAGTTGTGTTCTCAGATAAGTTGTAAGAAGTGGCTTCAAGTTGCAAGTAATAAACGATGAAAATAACAATAATGCATAAAAGTGTGATAATAGTACCTTCGAAACTCAATACTCCAAAATAACTAAATTAACATGAAAAAAATAATCGTAAATGTATTACCAACTTGAACAGACCCTGATATTAACTCTTTCGGGCTACATTTTTTACATGTGTCGAGACAAAATTATTATCCATATTATGCGCGATATGGAACAGGACAAGAACTGACATGGAACAAGGACAAGGACTGGACAAGATGAGACAGCGTGAGACAAAAAAAGACTTTCTTTAGGTGGAACAAGAATGAGACATAATCTAAAATATTGTTAATTAACTCTCGTTTGATATACAACTTTAATATGATATTTATTCTAGTGGTCATCACTGCTAGTCACGACCGCCGCCACCACTAGTAGCACCGTCGGCCATGGGTAGCCACCTCCACCACTGCTTCCACTACAACAACCATCGCCGACCACCTTCCATTGCCACCTCCACAACCACCACCCATCCACCTCCACCACCTCATCTACTGCAACCTCCTCCACCACCTCCACAACCACCGTTGGCACCAACCACTACCATTCATCCCCACCACCACCACCACCACCACCACCACCACCGTGGGCCACCTCACCTCCACCACCACCATCGGCTACCACTATGTCATCACCACCATCGACTACCTCCACCACATCGGCTCCCCACTATCAATCGCCACCACTATCACTATCCACAATCTTCACGTCTTCCACAACCACCATTGTCCACCAATCACCAATGTTTTTCCCTCCACAACCATTGTTGTTACAACAATCTTCATCGTGCGTTCGAACCACCATCAATTATATCTAAAAATTCATTCAAATTTGCTACTATTATATATGCATGGATTTACGTATTTGAAAATTGTGTAAAAATGTTTGTAAATTAAATCATTTAATCATTTACATTATTTGTCTTAATTATAATTATTGTATGATATATAAATAATCAAACAACTTTTATAGGGCAATTTGTCTAGTTCTGTCATGTCCGGTCCTCGTCGTACCAAACACCAGACAGACATTGTTATGTTTGGTAAAAATGTTCAGTCCTGCTCTGTCTAGCCCTACCCTCTTGTCCAGTCCAATCATGTATGCATACCAAACGTTACCTTAATGAACATGAAGGGACTTGAATCGGTAACTAAAAAAGCAAATCAAAGATCTTACCAGCTGAGTTACCCAAACGTCAAAACGGTTTATTGTTTAATCAAAGCCGAATGATAAAGACCAGGTCAAACCAAACAAAACAGAAAAAAAAAAAAAAAAAAACATCCCTATCGCACCCCAAGAATACGGTATATGGGGTTTTTGGCGCTGGGGAGTGGGGACAATCGGCCTAGGCCACGTGGATTACTGGTGCCTTAAGCGCAGATTATCGCTTTCAAAAATAAGCTAGGCAAACACATATCGACCATAAATGCTTGATAATTGCTCAATTTCAAACATGTTATATTTTATAAGGAGAACTTTGTAAATCCACAAATCTCTAGAGAATATTTGACCATTACCTATACATCTACACAATAACACACCCACCTAACAAGCAAATACCGTATCAATTCTATGCCAAAAGGTCGCTTGATGAAACAACTACTTTTAGATTTTTCGAACCGTACCTTTTGACCACAGGAAGGGGAGAGGGAGACCCAAGTATTGTGATCACCGGGCTTGATCAGAAAGACGATGGTGGTTCAACTTCTACCCGCAAACGGCTCCTGAAACAGGAGCCGATGCCTTTGGGAAGGGAGCTGTTTGTCATTGCCAGAAAGCTGAAAACATGCTGCTAACTTGCCAAATTTAAAGAATCATCGATTAATCCACCACTTTCACATTCCAACAGCTTTCGCATTCACTTCTCTGCCAAATCTCCAAATGTAGTTGAGACCAACGAGAAGCTCGGTTATTGTGGCTTCGGTCTTTTCTTGATTTGCATAGTGGAGAGTTTGTACAAGAAGCACGTTCGTCTTAGAAACCAGATTTTGTTGCTCAAAACTCCTCTCCGATTGCCATTGTATCATGCTATGAGCAAGTGGGGATAACCATTCTAAAATGGCCGATATTGCCTCACTCCATTCTTCTGCCAAATCTCTATCGTAATCTGATGAAGCCAAGCTCTTCGTGTATGGTTTTAACCGCACTCTGAGAGCGCTTCTAACGGTTTTTGGCAACATATTGTACAGATCATCTCTTGCATCATGACTGATTAAGTGGGGAGAGGCCAAAAGTTTCTCAAGTACGATAACGACATTAGCGTAGTGCAGTGCTAAAGCAGCAGCACCAAGAGTTTCCGGAGGAGCATCAAAGATATTCTGTTTAGAGCTACTAACAGTACGAAGTTCGACCTCAGAATCTTCAATCCTATGTGGGGTTGTAACACAAGCAGCATTCGGATTAATATGGCAATTTTTCACAGGAGAACCATTCTCAGACGGGTGAATATAAGACTGAAGCAATGCCGATACAGATTGGCTGCGGTAGATATGATCAGAATCTAGGAAATCAGAGTAGTCCGTTAACAGAGGTATGCATACATGCCCAATCCTATTGAAAATAGTGAATATGGATCTTGCCAGAAGGAGAACCACATAGTCATGAGTCCTGTTCCACAGAGATATCTCTTTCAGCCATTTGACTTCTTGCTGCTGCCACGCCAATTTCTTCATATGCTCGACCAAAGTTATGCTATCTTGGTAATCGTTGCTCTTCATTCTCCTCAGGATTTGTTCAAGCTCTGTGAGGGTTTCCATTTCCTGATACAAATTCGCATTCACAAAAACGAACTTTTCCATCTTTTTGACTTTCTTGTCCATCTTCTTCCAAGTGAACTGCCAGTTATACTGGTCGACTCCCAACTTGATCAAATCATCATATGCATGCTCGAAGCATTTTAAAAGGGGATCACTGCATTTTTTTGCAAGCCTGGTCACTACTCTTGCCACGTTTTCCAAATTATGTAGCATCTCAGCACATATCAAATCTACTAAGTAATTGTCGTCRTCTGATACAAGCCTCTTGATACCCACAGAATTACTGATCTCCCTCAACTTCATAACCTGCTTATCAGTAAGAGAATTCCATTGATGGACTAGCTTGGACAGTAGGCTTGCTACTTCAAAAGCGAACACCTTTTCTTGGCCAAGGTCATGCTTCTTTGAAGATTTCCATAGACCACGGAACCATGACTCAGCCACCATCCCTTACCTCAAGAAATATTTGAAGCAGCGACGTTGCAGCTGAGCCAATAGCAGATCCTCGATTCTAAATTAAATCAAAACAAAATCACCACTTTTTGTCAGTAACGTACTAAAATGTCCATCGAAAATGCCANGACTAGCTTGGACAGTAGGCTTGCTACCTCAAAAGCCAACACTCCAATCCGCGCCTTTTCTTGGCCAAGGTCATGCTTCTTTGAAGATTTCCATAGACCACGAAACCATGACTCAGCCACCATCCCTTACCTCAAGAAATATTTGAAGCAGCGATCTTGCAGCTGAGCCAATAGCAGATCCTCGATTCTAAATTAAATCAAAACAAAATCACCACTTTTTGTCAGTAACGTACTAAAATGTCCATCGAAAATGCCAAAATCGAATTAACACTGTAACCTTAAAACATACAGTTATGACATAACGAAAACATTGAAGTCTAGAACAAATTACAAGAAGAGAAGATAAAATGGAACAAAAGGGCCATCGTAGAATCAAAAAGGATTTTGGTAGTGACAAGGAATTTCAAATAGAAGAGAAAGTTAGTACACAGATTCTTCTCCTGCCTAATTGATAGATTGGTAACAACATAACATTCATGAGTTCCTTGCACAATCTCGTTTCATGATTGCATTTTGGTTTAGAGATGTGAGTTTCTTTCTTCTCCTTCCTTTCCCAGAGGCCAGAACAACAAGATAGTGCTAAAAAGCAGTCTAATACAAGTACTTTGAGAAGGACTACCTTTGACTTCAAAAGTCAAACATGGACTCTCCATTTCTGGGATTGAATTAACAGTTAACATGAGCTAGCATGTTTCTTGGACAAATTTTGCATAGAAATTTTACATCAAGCAATTTAATCAAAAGATGGCATTTCTCTACTTCTTCTTGGCAAAATTACAGTGACTGGGAGATGAATTCATCACATCAATCATCATCTACCTTTTTTACCAATAAATGACACTAACATCTAGACAAAATATATTGATTGATGAACATGCTTGCACGGCCAACCACCAGCAAAATAAAACACTGCTGGCTGCTGCAATCTGAAAGAATATTTTACTGGCAAGATCAAAACAGAATTTGCAAATTGATGTCATAATTTTTCCCGTACTACAATGGTGGTTCGGAAGTCCAATTCCTTCGCCTGGAATCGGAGGTCAATAAATTATGACTGATTTCGAACCAAAACCAGCATTAATTCTGATTCTAAAGCTACTAAACACTACCTATTGAAGACTAAGTCTCTAATTCAAAGTTGAGTGCTAGAATAAAGGGAAATCTTTAGAACGTTAGCTGCTGATTCCTTTTTACTTTTTCTTAGGTAGTTTCCTACTTT